ACTGTAGATTCAAAAAACTTATAAAGATATGAAATATCTATTGTCCCTGAAATGAGTTTCTCTTGCTTAGATTTCAACAAAAGCAATTTGTCCATTGTGAGGTGAGCGTGAGTTTTAAGAAAAAGGAAGGAGCCCCAGAAGATGGCGGAATAGAGAGGGAGGGAGCACAGCCAAGGTCCACTAGGGGAAGGTTCAAAGAGGGGTGAGAATTTGTAGTTTTTAAGGATCTAAAAGCCCTTCCTGAAACTGGGGAGATAGGGTAGACACGTGAGGAGGACGCGGACGGCTGAGACTCAGGACACCAGCAGGAGTGTGTACGCACCAGCGCTGGAAGCCGAGGTGAGAAGGGGCGCTCGACCAGCACCGCGGCACAGCTGCCGCCGCTCCTCCCCCAACACACCCTGGGACGGACACTGAGACACGCACAACTGAGTGGGGGAGGAAATAGAAAACGGAACAGAGTGAGTGGCGCCTGCAGAGAGAGTGCACGATTCAGGGGTACTAATTGAGAGACTGAGTAAGCCAGTATCTCTTGGCGCCTCCCCGGAGCTCCAGCGGGCGGGAAGCAGCCATTTTGTCTGTTTACATTTGGGCTTAAAGGAGAACTGCCTTTGCTTCCACACTAACCTTCAGAGGCAGAGCCCAAAGGTGGACCTGAGGGTGCTCGAGGGAGGGCAGCCCAAAGCCCTGAGACCCGACTACTCAAGTTACAAGAAAAAAACAAAACAAAAAAAAAACTGAATAGCGCCTGCTGGTGAGGAAAAAGCAAAAGCGCAGGATCCAGAGCTGCAGTGGGCAGAGAGCAGCCATCCTGTCTGTTTACCTGCGGGCTGTGTAGAGCAGCCTGATTACACTGGATATTGGTAGAGACTCACAGCAGCCTATAGTAGAGGGAAATCAACCTGAAAAATCACCCAGACGGAATGCCAAAAAAACAAAACAAAAAACCAAAAAAAAAAATATAGAAGAACATATAAATTTGCCAATGGAGCAGGCTAAACCAACCATAACAGAGGCAGAAGAAGAAGAAGTTGAAAACATGCCAGAAAAAGAATTCAGAAAATTAATAATCAGAATACTTAGAAATAATGAGAAACAGTGTCAAGAGCTGAATGAAAAACAAGCCCAGGGATTAGAGATCCTAAAGAGAAGGCAGAATGAGATACTAGAACTGAAAAACTCAATTGACCATATAAAAAAACACTGTAGAATCCCTCGGAAATCGAACAGATGAAATAGAAGACCGAATATCAGAATTCGAAGACAAACTTCCAGAAATAATACAGTCAGTTCAATCGCAGGAAGAAGAAATTAAAAAATTTAAAAATACGGTTGTAGACCTACAAGATTCAATCAAGTGGTGTAATGTTCGGAAAATAGGAGTCCCTGAGGGGGTGGAAAGAGAGAATGGATTAGAAGGTGTCTTCGGCCAGCGCCGTGGCTCAATAGGCTAATCCTCCACCTTGTGGCGCCGGCACACCGGGTTCTAGTCCCAGTCGGGGCGCCGGATTCTGTCCTGGTTGCCCCTCTTCCAGGCCAGCTCTCTGCTATGGCCAGGGAGTGCAGTGGAGGATGGCCCAGGTGCTTGGGCCCTGCACCCCATGGGAGACCAGGAAAAGCACCTGGCTCCTGGCTCCTGCCATCAGATCAGCGCGGTGCGCCGGCTGCAGCGGCGGCCATTGGAGGGTGAACCAACGGCAAAGGAAGACCTTTCTCTCTCTGTCTCTCTCTCTCACTGTCCACTCTGTCTGTCAAAAAAAAAAAAAAAAAAAGAAGGCGTCTTCAACGAAATAATATCAGAAAACTTTAAACAAAGGCAGCTGGATAACAACACACAAATACAACAGATAGCCAGGACTCCGAACAGAGTAGACCAGAAGAGAAATTCACCACGACACGTGGCAACACTCAGTTCAGTGACACACAAAGAACAAATCCTAAAATGTGCCAGAGAAAAGTGACAAATCACATTCAGGGGTAAGTCAATCAGACTCACCCCAGACTTCTCATCGCAAACACTACAGGCAAGAAGACAATGGCATGATATATTTCAAATTTTAAAAGACAAACAATGCCAACCTAGAATACTATATCCTGCAAAGCTATCATTTATGAATGAAGGGGAAATAAAGATCTTCCACGACAAACAGAAACTGAAAGAATTTGTATCCACGCGTCCTACCCTACAACACTTGCTCAAAGACGTGCTGCACACAGAAATACAAAAACAAGAACTTCACTGCAAAAAAGCGAATGTAGAGTAACCCACAAAGTTCAAAATACATAAACAGCTCGTTTCAGGAAACATGAAGGGGAAAAGACAGTACTTAACAGTAATCACACTGAATGTGAATGGTATTAATTCCATGACAAAGAGACATAGACTAGCTGATTGGATAAAGAAAGAGAATCCATCTATATGCTGCCTTCAGGAGACACACCTCATCAGCAAAGATGCACCCAGACTGAAAGTGAAAGGATGGAAAAAGATACTCCAAGCTAATGGAAATCAAAAAAGAGCTGGTGTGGCCATTCTAATATCAGACAAAATAGACTTTAACATAAAAACTATTAAAAGAGACAGAGAAGGGCACTATATAATGATTAAAGGATCTATCCAACAGGAAGATATTACTATTATAAATGTATACACACCTAATTACAGGGCGCCTGGCTACCTGAAAGAATTACTAAAGGATTTAAAGGGAGATATAGACTCAAATACAATAGTTACAGGGGACTTCAACACCCCACTCTCACCAATGGACAGATCAACCAGACAGAAATTCAACAAGGAAGCAACTGAGCTAATTGACGCCATAGACCAAATAGACCTAATAGATATCTTCAGAACCTTCCACCCCACAGACACAGAGTTCATGTATTTCTCCCCAGTACATGGAACATTCTCTAGGATTGACCATATACTAGGCCACAAAGGGAGCCTCAACAAATTCAAAAAAATTGAAACTATACCATGCAGCTTCTCAGACCATAGAGCAGTGAAACTTGAAATCAACAACCCAAGAATCTCTACACCATATGCAAATATATGGAGAATGGACAACATGATCCTAAATGAACAGTGGGTCATCGAAGAAATTAAAAGAGAAATCAAAAGATTTCTAGAAACAAATGAAAATGATAACAACCTATCAAAACCTGTGGGGCACAGCAAAAGCAGTGCTAAGAGGAAAGTTTATAGCAATTAGTGCCTACATCAAGAAGCTAGAAAGGAACCAAACAAATGAACTCTCCATGCACCTTAAGGATCTAGAAAAACAGCAGCAAATCAAGCCCAAATCCAAAAGGAGGAAAGAAATACTAAAGATCAGAGAAGAAATAAACAGAATTGAAACAAACAAAAAAAAACAATACAAAAGATCAACAAAACCAGGAGCTGGTTCTTTGAAAAAATAAACCAAATTGACACACCATTGGCCCAACTAACCAAAAAAAAAAGGAGAGAGAAGACCCAAATCTGTATAATCAAAGATAGTAATGGAAATGTAACAACAGACACAATAGAAATAAAAAGAATCATCAGAAACTACTACAAAGAGATGTATGCTAACAAATTGGGGAACCTGGAAGAAATGGATAGATTCCTGGACATATACAACATTCCTAAACTGAGCCGTGAAGATATAGAAAATCTAAACAGACCCATAACCATGGAAGAAATTGAATCAGTAATAAATGCACTACCGAAAAAGAACAGCCCAGGACCGGATGGCTTCACTGCCGAATTTTACCAGACGTTTAGAGAACAACTAACCCCAGTTCTTCTCAAATTATTCCAAAAGATTGAAAGAGAGGGAATCCTCCAAAATTCCTTCTACGAAGCCAATATCACCTTAATTCCTAAGCCCGGAAAAGACACAACAGAGAAAGAAAACTACAGACCTATGTCCCTGATGAACATAGATGCAAAAATACTCAATAAAATTCTGGCAAACCGAATCCAACTACACATCAGAAAGATCATTCACCCGGACCAAGTGGGATTTATCCCTGTATGCAGGGATGGTTCAATATTCGAAAGTCAATCAATGTAATACATCACATTAATAAATTGAGAAACAAAAATCATATGGTTATCTCAATAGATGCAGAGATAGCATTTGACAAAATACAACACCCTTTCATGATGAAAACCCTAAGCAAATTGGGGTTAGAAGGAACATTCCTCAACACAATTAAGGCAGTCTATGATAAACCAAAGACCAGCATCATATTGAATGGGGAAAAGTTGGCGGCATTTCCATTGAAAACTGGCACCAGACAGGTATGCCCACTCTCACCATTGCTATTCAATATAGTCCTAGAAGTGTTAGCCAGAGCAATCAGGCAAGAAAAAGAAATTAAAGGGATACAAATGGGAAAGGAGGAAGCTAAACTATCCCTGTTTGCAGATGACATGATACTATATATAGGGGACCCAATAAACTCCTATAAGAGACTACTGGAACTCATAGAAGAGTTTGGTAAAGTAGCAGGATACAAAATCAACGCTCAGAAATCAACAGCCTTTGTATACACAGACAATGCCAGGGCCGAGGAAGAACTACTAAGATCAATCCCATTCATGATAGCCACAAAAACAATAAAATACCTTGGAATAAATTTAACCAAGGAGGTCAAAGACCTCTATGATGAAAATTATAAAACGCTAAAGAAAGAAATAGAAGACGACACAAAAAAAATGGAAAAACCTGCCATGCTCATGGATTGGAAGAATCAATATCATCAAAATGTCCATTCTCCCAAAAGCAATTTACAAGTTCAATGCAATACCAATCAAAATACCAAAGTCATTCTTCAAAGACCTAGAAAAAATGATGCTGAAATTCATATGGAGAAACAGGAGACCCAGAATAGCCAAAGCAATCCTTAATAATAAAAACAAGGCCGGAGGCATCACAATTCCAGACTTCAAGGCATACTACAGGGCAGTTATAATCAAAACAGCCTGGTACTGGTACAAAACAGATGGATAGACCAATGGAACAGAATAGAAACACCGGAGATCAATCCAAACATCTATAACCAACTCATATTCGACAAAGGACCTAAAACCAACCCCTGGAACAAGGACAGCCTCTTCAACAAATGGTGCTGGGAAAACTGGATGTCCACATGTCGCAGTATGAAGCAAGACCCCTACCTTACACCTTATACAAAAATCCACTCAACATGGATCAAAGAACTAGAGATGCGCCACGACACCATGAAACTAATTGAGAGCATAGGGGAAACCCTTCAAGATATCGGAATAGGCGAAGAATTCCTGGAGAAGACCCCACAGGCACGGGTAATCAAAGATAAAATAAACAAATGGGATTACCTCAAATTGAAGAGTTTCTTAACAGCAAAGGAAACAGTCAGGAAAGCGAAGAGGCAACCAACAGAATGGGAGACGTTATTCGCAAACCACACAACAGATAAAGGACTAACAACTAGAATCTACACAATGATCAAAAAACACCACAGAATCAAAACAAACAACCCAATAAAAAAATGGGCCAAGGACCTTAACAGACATTTTTCAAAAGAGGAAATCCAAATGGCCAACAGACACATGAAAAAATGCTCAGGATCTCTAGCCATCAGGGAAATGCAGATCAAAACCACAATGAGATACCACCTCACTCTGGTTAGATTGGCTTACATACAGAAATCAACCAACAACAGATGCTGGTGAGGGTGTGGGGAAAAAGGGACACTAACCCACTGTTGGTGGGAATGCAAACTGGTAAAGCAACTATGGAAGACAGTCTGGAGAGCCCTCAGAAACCTGAATATAGCACTACCACAGGACCCAGCCATCCCACTCCTTGGAATATACCCAAATGGAATTAAAGGGGTGAAAAAAGCCATTTGCACCTCAATATTTGTTGCAGCTCAATTCACAATAGCTAAGACATGGAATCAACCTAAATGTCCATCAACGGATGACTGGATAAAGAAACTATGGGATATGTACTCTATGGAACACTATGCAGCAGTAAAAAACAATGAAATCCGGGCATTTACAACAAAATGGAGGAAGCTGGAAAACATCATGCTGAGTGAAATAAGCCAGTCCAAAAGGGATAAATATCACATGTTCTCCCTGATCGATGGCAACTAAACGAGCACCTAAAATGATACCCATTGAAGTAAAATGGACACTATGAGAGACAATGACATGAGCAGCCCTTGGCTAGACTATTGACGAACAACTTACTATTTTGTTCCTTTAGTATTTTTGTTGTTGTTGTTTTTGTTGCTCGATTTGCTCTACACAAGACCACTGGTTGAACTCTGCAATCAATGCACAACCATTCTTAAGCGTTTAAAAATTAACAGAAAATTGATCTCTGTGGAACATGGAAGTGGGAATAAGAGAGGGAGGAGATATATAGGACGGCACATACTCACTCAGACCTACCTCCAATGGTGGAACTGGAAATGTGCCAGGGGATTTCAACTCAACCTTACCAAGGAGGCAGGTACCAATGCCAGCACACTTGGTAAAGTGACAAATATAAATACACAACTGATCAAAAAGATAGGGTAAGTGGCAAAGAGATTATACAAATAAGACCAGTGTAAGCAAATAATGAAAGATAGAATCAAAAGGGAGAGAATGATCCTGCGGGGGAAGCAGAACACACAGCAGACTCAGAATGGCAAATGCCCAAAACAGCACTCCTGCCTCAGAATCAACCCTTGGGACATTCGGATCTGACTAAAAGGTCCATGAGAGTCTCGCAGGCATGGAAAGCCATGACATGGTGGCAAAAAACAATCTAAATGAAGGATCCTGTTGAACAACACCCCAGCAGAAGGATCAGGCCATCAAGGAGAGAGGCGCCTTTCTCTGAAGGGAGGAAGGAACCTCCACTGTGACATGGCCTTGACTAAACAAATTCAGAGTTGCTGAACTCAAGGGGCTTCCATAGCCTAGACAGCTCATAGCAAGAGTCTCGGGTGATTGCTGACATCATAAATAAGAGTGCCAATTGTTAAATCAACAAAGGGAGTCACTGGGTTCATGTTCCCCACACAGGATCTCTGTCCTTAATATGTTTAACTATGAAACTCAAAAACAACACTACTAGTCGAACAATACCCTATACCTGGTTCGGTTGTGTGAGTGCAACCTGTTGAAATCCCTGCTTAGTATATACTAAGTTGATCTTCAATATATGAAGGTAATTGAAAATGAAACATGATGAAGGGCGGGATGGGAGAGGGAGTGGGTGAGGGGAGGGCCATGGGAGGGAGGGAGGTCGGGGGGGAAGCCACAACAATACAAAAGATGCATTTTATATTCTACTTAAAACTATTGGTTGAACTCTGTAATTAATACACAATTACTCTTAGGTGTTTAATTAATGCTATAACTAGTACTCAAATAGTATTTTACACTTTGTGTTTCTGTGTGGGAGCAAAATGTGGAAATCTTTACTTAACATACGCTAAATTGATCTTCTGTATATAAAGATAATTGAAAATTAATCGTGATGTAAAGGGGAAGGGGAGAGGGAGTGGGAGAGGGGAGCGTTGTGGGTGGGAGGGAAGATACGGGGGGAGGAGGCTATTGTGGTCCTTAAGCTGTACTTTGGAAATTTATGCTCATTAAATAAAAATTAAAAAATATAAAAAAATAAAAAAAGGAAGGAAGAAAGAGCTAAGGAATCCCCACTGGCCAGGAGGTCAGCAGAGGCATTAACCCCACCTCTGAGTCATGAGTTTGGCAGAGCGTTGGTGTTCAGAGCATCTGCTGTCGGCTCACTCTGCTGTGCCTCTAAAAGAGGGGACTCAGGTGTCTAAAATTCCCAGAGTGCTGTGCGACCCTTTGTACACAGAGGTCAGGCCAGGTCCACAAGGATCCTTCTACTCAGGCATGGTTTCTAAGTGCTAGATGGGTTGTCCTCACCCAGCCAGGTGAGACAGGATTTGTCCCTACTCAAACCACAGCCTTTGTGCCACTCTGTACAGGCACATGTATCTGCCCTGGAAATAAGTGTCTAAATTTATTCATACATCTCAAGCAGTCCAAGTACATATGAATATTTTCTGTGTTTAATTCCAAGCAAAAGCCCTCTCCATAGAATATTTTTTCTTCCATGCTAATTTAATCAAGGGAGAAAAGATTATCTTGTGTCACCCCTTTTGTGAGTCAGATCACAGGAATGGTTTAGAAGGTGAAGACAATGAATGCCACACCTTTCTCTAGTAGGATGTCATGTGTTCTCACTATGAAGAGAGCAGCACAGGTGACAGGCAGGTCTAAATGACTCCAAAGGTCAGGAAGGGGAAAGTGGCCCTGGAATTTGTGTGCTTGTGAGTGGGGCTGGGTGGCTAAGGGGTGTGGATACAGACTTGCTGGCTTTGCCCTGAATTGGCTTTCTCACTGTCTTGTCTAGGTGCAGGCAAGAGAGCTGGGGTTCGTGAGCTGTCAGCAGTGACCCAAAGAAGGGGTGTCAGACCGTTCAAGAGGGTTGGGGCTGGCATCGTGGCACACTAGCTTAATCCTCCTCCTGCGGCACTGGCATCCCATGTGGGTGCCGGGTTCTAGTCCCGGTTGCTCCTCTTCCAGTCCCGCTCTCTGTTGTGGTCTGGGAAGGCAGTGGAGTGTGGCCCAAGTGCTTGGGCCCCTGCACACACATGGGAGACAAGGAAGAAGCACCTGGCTCCTGGCTTTAGATCAGCACAGCTCCGGCCATTGTGGCCATTTGGGGAGTGAACCAATGGGAGGAAGACTTCTCTCTCTGTCTCTCTCTCTCACTGTCTGTAACTCAACCTGTCAAATAAATAAATAAAAAATCTTAAAAAAAGAGAGAGGTAGGGTGAATTTTCTCATAAAACCTTAATAATGGGTGGTAAAAAGCATTTATTCTAAACATGTCTGAATTTTTGTTCTAAAAGGCAAATTTTATAAAAATTATTTTGTAAAGTGAATGGTTTAGCCACAGTGTCTCACACCAACAATCGCAATAGTTTAGGAGGTACGAATAGGAAGGAGCAGTGTTGAATATGACAGAGTGGGTGCGGCCTGCAGATATACCAATTCTTACACAGATACTAATATGAAAAGTCCAAAACTTTGAATCAGCAAAAGCCAGGTGTGGCTAACCCTGCCATGCAGGTGTGGGTGTCTCTGTGATCTTCTGCTTATAAGAGTAATGGTGGCTTTTTGACAGGCATTCACACTTCTTTTTTTTTTTTTTTCTGTATGAAATGAAATTCAGACTAAAGTTTGGATGAAGCCACTGTTTATGGGAAAAAATGGCCTCACGGTGCTGTCTATAAATCAGAGTGGGGGCAGAGCTTTTGATCCATCTTCCCAGTGACGTGCCTGGGAAGGCAGCAGAAGATGGCCAAGTTCTTAGGCTCCTGCCTGTCGCGTGGAAGGCCTGGATGGAATTCTTGCTCCTGGCTGCTGCCTGGTCCAGCCCTGACTGTGCAGCAATTAGGGGAATGAAAGCACATCGAGGATTCTCTCTCTCCTCATCTCTCCCTCTCTGTCACTCTGCCTTTCAAATATACACAGTTATTCTCAAGTGCTGAAACTTAACTGAAAAGTGATTGCTGTTAAATATAAGAGTGGGAGTAAGAGAGGGAAGAGATGTGCAATTCGGGACATGCTCAAGCTTACTTACCTCAAACGGTAGAGTTAGAAACATACCAGGGGATTCGAATTCAATCCCATCAAGGTGGCAAGTACCAATGCCATCTCACTAGTCCAAGTGATCAATTTCTGTTCACAATTGATCATAGTGATAGGACTAAGAACCAAAGGGGTCACATAAACAAGACTAGTGTCTGCAAATACTAGCTGATAGAATAAAAAAAGGGAGAGAACAATCCAACATGGGAAGCGAGATACACAGCAGACCCATAGAATGGCAGATGTCCTAAACAGCACTCTGGCCTCAGAATCAGCCCTTAAGGCACATGGATCTGGCTGAAAAGCCCATGAGAGTATTTCAGGCATGGAAAGCCAAAACACTCTGGAAAAAAAAAAAAAAACCCTACATGAAAGATCTCCGCGAGTGAGATCCCAGTGAAAAGAACAGGAACAGGTCATCAAAGAAGTATGTACCTGTCTCTGAAGGGAGGAGAGAACTTCCACTTTGACTACGACCTTGTCTAAATATGATCAGAGTTGGTGAACTCAAAAGGCTTCCATAGACTTGGCAGCTCCTGACAAGAGCCTAGGGTGATTACTGATGCCATAAACAAGAGTGTCAATTTGTTAAGTCAACAACAGGAGTCACTGTGCACTTACTCCTCATGTAGGATCTCTGTCCTTAATATGCTGTACATTGTGATTTAATGCTATAACCAGTACTCAAACAGTATTTTTTCACTTTGTGTTTCTATGTGGGTGCAAACTGTGAAATCTTTACTAATATATGCTAACTGATCTTCTTGTATATAAGAGAACGAAATGAATCTTGATGTGAATGGAAGGGGGGAGGGAGAGGGAAAAGGGAGGGTTGTGGGTGGGAGGGAAGTTATGGGGGGGGGAAGCCATTGTAATCCATAAGCTGTACTTTGGAAATTTATATTCATTAAATGAAAGTTAAAAAAAAGAAATCTTAATAAAACAAAGTAAAAATAGTAAAAATGATTCAGTGAATACCATTGTGCATGCATGTTTGTGAGCACACAGAGGATGGCCAGGACAGAGATTTTCTCTTTACTTGACCCTTACCTGCCCACTTCAGTGGTCACAGGACTTGATATCATCAGACCTTAAACATTTCACCAAAGTGATGTGTGAGAAATTGTTTCTTGGGTGGATTTGGACAGCTGTGAGAGCTTAGGATCTTGTGATTCTTTAATTACACATGAAAATTTCCTCTTCTATGCATTGTCTTTTCCTATCATTTGCCAACAAATGTTAAGTGATAAAATACACACCTCAAAATAGAAAAAATGCAAAATCTAAACTGCACCGCAAGCATGGCTCACACATGATAGAATTCCTCAGCTGAACAGGAAGCATCTGGGCTTGAGGCACACATTAAAGTAAAACGTATTTATAATTTATTTATCACTCCACTATTTCCAATAAAGAAGCTTTCCCTTGTTTTAAGTTAAAATGGCAAATGATCCACAGATTAATTGGTGGCCATGTTTTCATTATTTATGGAACATTGCTATCATGTCTCACTAGTAAGCTGATTCATTTTTAATATTACAAATATATAGTAAATATGCATTAAGTATGTCTATATTCAAGCTAAAGAGAAAAATTGTAACTCCCAAACTAGGAATAATCAATATTAATATCTTAGAAACAGCCTTCTTTTTATGGCTATATAAAGATCTGTGTTTTAAATTTGAGCATTATGGACAATTTCATATTTCTATTCAGTATCACATAATGAATATTACTTTCTGTGTCATCAAACCTTTTTTAAAGATTTATTTATTTTATTATTTTAAAGGCAGAGATACAGAGAGGCAGAGGCAGAGAGAAAGAGAGGTCTTCCATCCGTTGGTTCACTCCCCATGTGGCCACAATGGCTGGAGCTGTGCCAACCCAAAGCCAGGAGTCAGGAGCTTCTTCTGGGTCTCCCAGGAGGGTCCAGAGGCCCAAGGACTTTGACATCTTCCACTGCTTTCCCAGGCTTTAGCAGAGAGCTGAATTGGAAGAGGAGCAGCTGGGACTCGAACTGGCGCCCCTATGGGATGCCGGCACTGCAGGCAGTGGCTTTATCTGCTACTCCACAGTGCTGGCCCTGATCAAACATTTTATAACAGTATTTTCAGGGCCACATAGCATTCCATTTTATGGATTTAGGATGATGATTTGGAGCAGTTTTTCATTTTCCAAAAAAATATTTCTCCTGTTTGGATGATCACTTTCGGAAGTGTAAAATAAAGAAGGTATCATACCCTTATTCTGCACTGAAAAGCTTAACAAGGTAATATTTAAAGTTCCTGGTGAAAGCCTAGTATAGACCGTTTTCACCTCTATTTTTCTACAGTGTTACATGGATATCACTTTTATTTCCCATTTTAAGTTATTGTAGTAATTTATGCTCCATTACATTTGACATGCATGTGTGCATAGATACACACACACACACACATAACACACACACACACCAACATTTCCCATGCTCTTTGTAAGAGAAATTAATATGCTATGCCTGGCGTTGTGGCACAATGTGTTAAGCTGCCACCTGCAATGCCAGCAGTCCATATCAGAGCACCAGTTGGCACACTGGATGCTCTGCTTCTGACCCAGCTCCCTGCTAATGCCCCTAGGAAAGCAGCAGAGGATGACTTAGAATTTGGGCCCCTGCCACCCACGAGAGGCCCTAATTCAGTCAGGCTCCTGGCTGTTGCCTGACTGAATTCTAGGCATTGCGACCATTTTTGGGAGTGAACCAGCAGAGCAGGATTTCTCTTTTTTTCCTCTCTGCCTTTGAAATAATTAAATAAATAAATCTTTACTTAAGAAAAAGAGGAACTGATATTCCAGTAGATGAGATCATCTTTCTTGTCACAGAAAATTAGATTCCTATGCCTGCCTTATTTGGCTGATTCTCTGATGAATCAGAAAAATGTTAACCTACCTTAGGTTCTTTGCATAGTTATTTTGTTAAACATTAATATTTACTTGCTAATATTGTCACTAATATCCAGTTGTATAGGGCAGTACCTCAGTAAGTAAGGGTTTTTGAACATAGGAATTTCAGATTAACACCCTTCACTTAATATGACTGATTTAAGTGGCACCATTCATGGAGTAAGGAAATTAAATGTTTCTATCCTAAGGAACTGTCAGAATGATCAGTGAAGAACCCAAGACGCCCATTTCACTGAGTAAAAAATATTCACATTGTAACATTTCAGCTGGAGGAGATGTTACAGTCAGCTGTGTCTCAGGACAGAAGTGATGGCAGTTCTACTTTCTCGGTGGTACATATAACGCCAGCACTGCCCACACCTGAGGACTTCGTCCCTTCTGGGACCCACAGAGGACGCAGTGGTGCCTTGGGGCCTGATTCACCTCTCTCCTGTCTCTTTACCACAGGTCCCCTTTGCGGGGGCGGGGGGCAGACCCGGGACACGAAGCACCGAGCACTGAAAAAGTGCTGAGCTGTCATTCTGAAATTAGGATGCGAAAGACCATGACTTCTACGTTTCTGGTAACCCCTCTTCATTCTGAAACCAGGACGTAAAAGACCATGACTTCTCCGTTTCTGGTAACCCCCTCTTGGCTCCTCTTTCCCTGATGGACCTCAGGATCACCTGAGAAGGAACTTTGTGCGGCCCTTGACTGGATGATGTCCAAAACCTGAAAGGAGTAATAATTTTGGAGTGTAGGTACATCTCTCAAGTTAGTGACATCCTAAAGTCTCACCAACTTTGCAGTGGACATATGCAGCTTGATGGTTTACACAATCACAAAACTTTCACAATGAGAATGATTATTGCTATATATAATTCTACAGATGCATCTTACAAATATGCTGAATGGGAAAAAGACATACAAAAGAGCACATATTGATTGTACAGGCAAATAGGTAAAAGTAATTCATGGTGTTGGAAGCTGGGCTGATAATTAGGGATAAGGAAAAGGATAGTAATTGAGAAATGGTATACAGTTTTATGTAGATAATACATCTGGTAGCATTTTTTTAATCTTTATGATAGCTATGTAATTGCATTCTGTAGTAATACAGAAATTTTCATGCTTATCTTTGAAAATTTCTGTATCTATTTTGTACTTCATTTCATTCTATGTGCTTGTGCAGGGGAGAGCTGGATTATCAATGCATACATGTTTTAGATCAAAAGAAGTAAATTGTTGTGTGCAGGTCATTGGCCAGAATTTGTTTTAAATTCCTAACTGCATAGGGATAAGGATTGTGGACTTGAGTATATCCCAGATAAAGAAACAGAACTCAGCAAACTGTAGCAATGTCTTTTACATTAAACTGCTTTCCAAGGTCACACAGCTGTGAAGTGGAAGAAGCAGCATTTCAGCCTAGGCAGTTGGATTCTAGAATCTATACATCTAACATGCAGAAGACTGGAAAAAGTAACTTGTTAAAAATTTATGGTCAAATATGCTATTTAAATTCACTTATTATTCCTACAACTGTGTAACATTTGTGTATATTTAGTAATCAACTTATGAATTAAACACATGTTAATAAACCATTGTACTCAGGCACTTAGACCAGTCTTGGAGATACCCAATGTTTAGGAAAAATCCTTCCTTCTTGGACTTCACGGTGAGCAAGAACATAAGAATAAAGAAACAAATCAACTCCCAGTTGTCTACCGGGGTGTTTACTGGGGCTGAAAACTGCCAGAAAGTGAGCTAAGTGTCAGGGACTCAGAGGCAGAGCAGAGGTAAAGCATGCCCTTAGGAACACCGGCATCGAGTGGAAAGATGGGGAGATGTTAACAGTGTATATCCGAGGTCACTGCAGCAAGGCATCAAACACCGAGGGCACAGAGCTGGAGGAAGCCTGCTCGCCAGGCTGGGCTCCAGCGAGAAGGAGAAATTCTACCTGGGATTGTAAACTGTAATGTTAGTCAGGAAGACAACACTGTATACAGCCAGATCAAAGGAATGACTGACATGGCTTTGAAGGCTGGGAGTGGCCAGTCTAAGGAATCTCTACGTGCCATAGACAAGGTTCACAAACGACCCTGTGCACCAGCCAGCGAGCGCTCAGTGGTCAGGGGATCAGTGAAGATATCATGGACTTGGGCAATGACTGGAAAAGGGAAGGCTTCAAGAGATCGTTCAGAAACACATTCCATTGTGGCAGTGAGAGATGGGCACGCAGGGGTAGCGCAGGTTCTGCCTGAGTGAGTGGGTGCCACTAAGAGATAAGGGAAAAAGTGTGCAGATGTTGCTATTGCCTTGGGGTGTGATGGTGTGGACACATCAGTCCAAGTCGGCTGTTGAAGCTTTCACGGGGGAGGGCCAACCTGAGTCAGTTCAGTAAGAGTCTGTTTCTTACATCCTTGTTAGTCTACATTATCAAATGCTCTTTGCTCTTTTACTTTTATCTCTCTACATAAGAGAAATTCTAGTGGGAATGTTATTACAACATTAAAAGCTAATGACCCACCACTACAACCTTATTAAGCCTAACTGGAGCTTTCACTGTGAAATTAACTCATGAAAATTGTAAGGAAATCTGTCACTTTATTAAAATTGTTATCATTGTCTTCAAATCCAGGGTGATGCTTTAATTCATGGATCAATTTTAATAATAAAATTAGGAAAAAGTGATCACCAAATTGATTTACAGGCTTTTGTTTGCTTTTACCTTTGGATTTTAACAGCATTAAGAGAAGAAATGCAAATACCATACACTCATTAAAAACAGAAAGTTATTTTAATACATACATGGCATTGTGGAGTCATCATGAAAATCTAATTCAGAGTATTTTCACCAGCCTGGAAGAAGCCCTGTATTCACAATGGTCACAATGGTCAACCGAAGAGTTTAGCTGAAATTTTTTTTTTTTTTTTTTTTTACAGGCAGAGTGGACAGTGAGAGAGAGAGAGACAGAGAGAAAGGTCTTCCTTTGCCGTTGGTTCACCTCCCAATGGCCACTGTGGCAAGCGTACTGCACTGATCTGAAGCCAGGTGCTTCTCCTGGTCTCCCATGCGGGTACAGGGCCCAAGCACTTGGGCCATCCTCTACTGCACTCCCTGGCCACAGCAGAGACCTGGACTGGAAGAGAAGCAACCAGGACAGAATCCGGTGCACTGACTGGGACTAGAACCGGGTGTGCCGGCGCTGCAGGCGGAGGATTAGCCTATTGAGCCACGGTGCCGGCCATGCCAGTTCTTTTTAGTATTTCACTCAAACTGTATTCACTCCCGTGAGCATCTGTTTACGTCTTTGCAGTATCGGTGACAACACAGGGAAAGAAGATTGGCCTTGCATGGGTCATGACTGCAACTTGCCTTGAAGGCTAACCCACCTGTCCATGCCAGAGCCACACCTGTGGAATCTACTCTTGTAGTAAGTTCCAAGTGTATACTATGGTAATAGTAACATGGTCCCCATGCTGGTCATTAGATCACTAGAACTTACTCATCCCATATAAATCAAAATTACAATTAGATATCCCTTTCACCTGTTAGAATGGCTGTGATAAAAAACACACGTGTTGGTAAGGAGGTAGAGAAAAGGAAAAGCTTACAGACCATAGGTGGGGATGTAAATTGGTACAGCTTTTGGGGAGAATAGTATCATGATTCCAAAAGAACTGTTGCATGACCCAGTCATCTCTGCTGGATATACACCCCTAAGGAATAAAAATGGTAAACCCCTCCCTGATTGCAGCATTGTTCACAGCAGCTGACCCAAGTGTTTACCGTGGGTGAAGGGATAAAGACATTGTGGAATACTAATGGTGGGCTATGTCTGACCCTTGGAAAGGAAGAAGTCCTGCCATTCGGGAAAACATGGATGAATCTGAGCCTCAAGGCGGACACCGTGCTAAGTGAAATAATCCAGACACAAAAAGAAAATTGCAGCATGATCTCACTGATATGTAGAATATGGAAGAAGTCCTACTGAGAGTACGGTTATCAGAGATGGGGGAACAGGGTGGTGGAGTGGATGGGGAGATACTGATCAAAGGGAACATTTTCGTTCTGCACCAGCCCCTCAAATTATGTGATTGGTTCTGCTTATGGGCCTACAGTATCCATTGATTGTACTTGTTTGCTCATCTCGAGTGTGTTTTCCTTCCCTTTTGGAGGTGTTTCTATGTGGCTCAGCTACCTGAACATCACTAATGTATTCTCACTAATATTCTCTCTCAGATTAATTGCTCTGAAGGAATTGCATAGGCTCCTCGGCTAAACAAGTTTAGTGATTTGTGGACTTCCAGTCTTCCATGTGCTTTTTTGTTTCTAATTGAACATGTCACCGATTTATATATTTTTTCATATATTTCACATATATAATATATTATATATTCATATATTTCATATATATATTTTTTTCATCTCTCCTAGTAAATAGAGAAATGTTTAGCCCATCAGCCCAAGGTGAGTGTCACCTAACACCCAGGTTAAGGGACAAGCGTTGTGGCACACTGGGTTAAGCCACCACCTGCTATGCTGGCATCCCACGTGGGTTCCAGTTTCAGTCTTGGCTGTTCTGCTTCCAGTCCAGCTCCCTGTTAATGCTTCTAGGAAAGCAGTGGGAGGTGGCCCAAGTCTTTGGGCCCTTGCACAAATGTGTGAGACCTGGATGAAAGTCCTGGTTCTTGGCTTCTGCATGTCCCAGCCCCAGCCATTGCTCCCATTAGGGGAGTGAATAAGCAGATAGAAAATCTCTCTCTCTCTCTCTCTCTCTCTCTCTCTCTCCCTAACTGTAAGTTTGCTTTTAAAATAAATCTTAAAAAAAAAAAACAGGTTAAATGAGAGTCTGTAGAAGGGTGGATCTGGCTCTCCATGTGCCTTCCCAGGACTGGGAACCCAGGATTAGTTTGCTCATGACTTCTCTGGGCCAAGATACAGAGCAGAACTTCCTTAGGCACCTCAAGGATCCCAGACATCCCCTGCCCTGCAGGGCATAGCAGTTCCATGCCTATTAAGACCACACTGGGCCTCCAAGTTGCTTAGAACTCAGCCTTGCAGTCTCTTTAAATTTTATAAGAATTTGCTGCAGGCCAGGTCCCAGTATGGCTGATCCAGGTCAGCCATGGACAAAGTATATGGCATGGATTCTACAGCTGAACACCTAGGGTAGGAGTGAATAGAGGCTCTGATTAATTATTGATGTATTAATTAATAATACAGCTTCTAATGATCTATGTTAAGAGCAGGGGAGAAAGACTCTGACAAGGGATGTGGAGTTTTGATTGGATAGGCAATCTCTGAACCTAAGCTATGATGTTGAAGGAGGAAGACAGGTGCTGAGGATGCCCTGCTGGGACCTGGATCCCTCTCCAACCACATACTCACCCCCAACCTAAGGCACCCCAAATGGATCTAAAATACAGGAATGATATAAAGCAAAGGATCATTTGACCCTCCTTCCATTCAAGCTGCTGCCCTTAACCCCCTCCCTCTCCATAAGAAATTCTAGAACCTCCCCTAGGGACGAGGACCCATGGAAAGGATGGGGGCAATTGGTGCTATTCCTCAGAGGAGTGTAGGTCCCTGTTTTTCTGTGACATGAAGGCTCTGGCAACAGGTACACATTTCCGTCTCTGCTGCGTGGTGACTTGGTACCTCTGGCAGTCCAGCAGGTGAAGTGTCAACATGATGACGATCCTAAAATGTTTGCCCAGTATGAGATTGACCTTTCTCCCAGACATGATTTAGCAGTCTGTTCACAATGTTCTGTCTTCTCCAAAGAGAGAGCTGCTGCCACTCTGTTTTCAGTATTGGTCAGTCAACTTCAGATCCTTAGCTAAGAAGTATCAATACCTTGCTCGGACTACATAATTTATTTGTAACAAATCTCTAATGTCATCCCTTATGATCTTTCTTAACTTTGATTTATGAAATAAGGCTATGATAATATCTTCTTGTCAGGCTTCAAGTCTGCCATAAAATCTATTTAGTAATATGTTTAAGACTCTGCTTCTGGGACCGGCGCTGTGGCGCAGTGGGTTAACACCCTGGCCTGAAGCGCCAGCATCCCATAGGGGTGCAAATCTTCCTGTGCAGGCTCCACACTGTGGCAACCCCAGGCAAATGCTGAGAGCGGATAGGCAATGCCAGTGCTGGCATTCAGCGAGTGCTCCCCTGGGCTTCATCCTCCAGTGTAGTCCCAACCAACAAGACAGGCTGCATTTTGAATCCTACAATTAACTATTTCCTGAAAAATTCTCAACTTTTTCAGAACTTGGGAGGATGGCCTAATAGAGGGCTGCTATTCTTTGAGGGGGGTGACCTATGGGATAAATCAACCTGAGAGTTTTTTTGTTGCTATTGCTAATATAGTCTGTTGACTCCCATAACTAATCTACCAATGGACATTACATTCATATCTACTGAATCAAGGATAATTTGGCCGCTAGTCATTTAGATTTTTGTCAGGACTATTTATTTATGGGAGAAATCTAATTTACATATATCTCAAGAAACTCCTAAGGGTGCTTGTAAGGCTAGATAATATTTGAAACTGAGGTGGGCAACAGTGATTCTTTTTGTGCAATTCAATTATGAAAAGTGTGCACACCATTGAAGTGCTGCCTCTGGGTCTTTCCTGCTCTCGGGGATTCCGACACAAATCCACAATGAGGGATCTGCTGTTTGTGGACTGGTAATTACTAGGTTCAAGTGCATGTTGGGACCCACACATCATCTCCGCAGGGAGCTGCTCGGCTTCTTTAAGGCTGTCATTATTGCATTTTGTCCATCCCAGGAATTTAGAATTAATCCAGGCCTCATCTAAATGCAAAATAGTGGGGAGAAAGCTGAAAGGAAAATAAACAGTGACCTTAAGGAAGGATGGGTTGTGAGATAAGCCGGTGATGAATTGTAGCTGGGTCTCAGCAGCCCTGCTCTGATCGCTGGATCGCTGACTGCTGCACTGTTGATTTGTTTACTCTGGAAATGCAGTGGCTACAATTTCGGCACAGTTTATTCTCAGTAGTTTACATGGGGAATTCAAAAAGGTGCTCCTGGGTCTGGGGACTTATAGATGAGGAAAAAGTCACCCTTGAACCTGAAATGAGTAGAAATTTGACTTTGTTGAAGGAAATTAGTCAGTGGTACACAAAACCTCTCTGGGAGGTCGTTTTTGCTTCTGCTGATGAAGTTAGGGTGTCTTATATCACCAGGAGGACACAAAGTGTTATAAACAAATCTATCACATTCTTGTATTAGCTTTTTATTCATCTGCAACCAATTACCAAAAACTTACCATGGCTGACCTGGATCTTGTGTCCCAGACCTCTCCAGGCTATAATCGTGAGGTCTGTTGGGCTGCATTCTCACCTGGAGGCAGGACAGTTGCACTCAGGTTAGCAGAACTCACCTCCACCTCCTTGGACTGTTTGGTGACCCTTGTTCTTACTGGTTGTTGGCTGGAAGCTGCCCTCAGGTCCTGCAGGAAACACAGTTGCATAAGACTTGAACTTCTCAATGGTGGGTCACGACACAGCAGTCTGCTGCTTCTAGGCCAGAAAGAGAACTTACACTTCCTCTTAAAACTTGTGAGTTCTCAGCCAGCGCCGCGGCTCAATAGGCTAATCCTCTGCCTGCAGCGCTGGCACACCGGGTTCTAGTCCCGGTCAGGGCACCGGATTCTGTCCCGGTTGCTCCTCTTCCAGTCCAGCTCTCTGCTGTGGCCAGGGAGTGCAGTGGAGGATGGCCCAAGTGCTTGGGCCCTGCACCTGCATGGGAGACCAGGAGAAGCCCCTGGATCCTGGCTTCGGGTCAGCGCGGTGCGCCAGCTGCAGCGGCCATTGGAGGGTGAACCAACGGTAAAGGAAGACCTTTCTCTCTGCCTCTCTCTCACTGTCCACTCTGCTGTCAAAAAAATATATATATAAAAAAAGTTCTGAGTTCTCTTTGAAGAGCTCTCACCTGATTAGTAAGGACCAATCAAGAGAATTTCCTTCTTGCTCAACTCAAAAGCTAATTTGCAATTTTTGTCATTTGTACAATCTTTACACTTTTGCCTTAGAAATTGTAACCTAATATAAAGAGGGATGTCCCATCACGTTTGTTGTATTTTATTGGTTAGCACGAAGGTGCAGGTGTGAATCTTCTAGGGTCTCCTTAGAGAGCATCTGCCATAGTTATTGTTTGCCACACAGTACTTGCTATATTTTAAGAGATAATTCAAATAATTTCTGAAAAGGATACTTAAAGATCACTAATTCTACCCAGTCCCTCATAGAGAAGTGCAGATGTGAACCTGGGAACTTTTTACTGGTTACCTGGACAGATACGTTTTCCTGGGTTAACAGACATTCCCCTCAAGAAAGCCATTTCGCTCCATTTTAGCACTTTGTGCTCACCAAACAATCTCACAAGTTCCATTCTGGTCTCTTGAGTAAACAATCCCATCACAAGAGGGTGTTGTGAGAAAGTTAATGCCTCCTGTCCTTACCCTGTTGTGAATGATTAAGTTGGCTTTCTGGTTTCTCCCATCTTGAAGTCTGTTGAGATGTCCCTCCATGCTCAATAAACTGGGGGAAAGTAATGCTGCTTTCCTGTAGAGACCCACTCAGAGCCCACTCACCAGGCAGATCTGTTTGAAGTGGCCCTGGGATGTCTTCTGTGAAGCACCTCCCTCGTGCATGAAGATGCCCTTCATGGATTTCCTGTCCACACTGATCCACAAGCCACATGCTTCCTTCTGGGTGGTGGTCTTTCCAAAGAGCTTTTCCTGATGGAAACATCTCCCAGCACAGAGTGGTTTTTAGACTGATAAATGAGGGCATTTGACAGAGATGGACACCAGAGGAAGACAAAGACAGTAGGTCTGGCTTGAGAATGACGTCGTGTTAAGACAAGAGGAGTGTTTGTCTCTGTCTTCTCTCTTCTGCCCTCCAAGGACAGGAGCAGTAACTGCCTCCCTCCACCTGTGAGGCACGGCAGTCCTGAATTACCACCAGTGAAGATGTGGCTGCTTTTGCACATTGCTGCTGCCCAAAGTAGGAATTCTGTCTGGAATTCGTGCTCCTACCCTCGTATACTCTGCACCAACTGCCCCCACTACTCTCCCTCCTCCCAGGTGACCAGTTCCAATAACTGATTGTGTTGTCAATCATTTTAGTTTTACTTCACACCGCTTAGCATGAGAGTTGAAATGCCACATGTCTAAGTCGTCATCTGAATTCAGGCTTTTGCTTTACATCTTTGGAACCTGATAGGTAAGGCAATCTCTGCTATAGAAGACTTTATGGTTGCTCCTTTCTGAAAGAGGTGTATATAACCTGCCAAGCAATGCACCATGTTCAAAGAGGTCCACCTGTCAACTTGGGAGAGGCAGAAGAATTACCAGGAGGAACAGGAAGTAGTGCTGCTGCCACAAGTTCCTGTGGTGATTCTTTGTCTTCAGTTTCTGTTCTTGGTAATTAACTAATTAACTAATGAATAAATATTGAACCCCATGATTACATGTCTATTGCATTCTTCCTTGTGCTCAAGGCTCCATAGGCAACAGATGTATGTTAATGAGCTCTACATACTGGTGATTACAGAAGAATACCAGAGATGGTGAAGTAATGGCCAGCTGTGTATACTACTTTTCTTCCAGGTGGTAGGAGATGTTCTAAGAGCTTTCCACAAAACCACCAGCAGTTCTCACTGGGGAAACTCCAAGCTTCCATTAAAAATAAGGAAAATAAAGCTCACCATAAACATCCAAGTACATACGTAAATAATGAATAAATAAGATAAATGATGATGGTGATATTAAGTATTAGCAGATACTTGGTGGCAGCTTCTTAAGCAAGTGGGACATCCCAGAATGAGAGGACTACTTAGTGAGTGGGAATTAGAGTGAAAGGTGGAACTGAATTTCGTGCTTAATTTTTTCAGATCACAGTGGAATAATTTCATTCCTGGGGCCTGAAAATTAAACAGTCTTTATCTGGCCACACATACATACACAAAATGGTTTTGTAGTAAAAACAGGAAATCTTATCTATACTAGCCAACTTGTTTTTTGACTGAACTAAAAAGGAATGGCTGACTTTTAGCTTGCGATTATGCTTTTTTCCCCCTGTGTTTTATGACGCTCCCAGATTTTGCAGTTAATTATTTCTAAATAATGAAACTGAGATAAAACAAAGGGTAGAGCCTGTTGTAGTGCCCCTTGCCAAGAACCTGAATGGACAAGGCAGTTCCTTTGTAAGTCGTAATTCTCCACCTGGAATGGGGAAAATGATACCTTTATTATTATGTAAGTAATATTAAATTATTCATTAGTATTATATCAGTTTTACTGTTGTGAAGATGAAGACCACTGATGTGCATAAAATGATACCATTAGATGTTAGTTTTGGGCTAATTGCCATCAAATTCCGCTTTCAAAATGACAGTTCTTGGATAGTTTCTTAAGTCATTTTTCAGAAGAGAACTGCTTCCAAAATAATTCCAGCAATTTTCAAAATTATTGTTCTGTTGTGATGCAGTCAGCCTCTCACCTTGTTCAGCTTTAACATATTCAAAGCGCTCTAGGGCTATCCAGAGTTGCAAGCATTGCTGATACTAAAATGTTTTGCTTTTGGTGATGTTGTTTATAATCAACAAATTTACTATTATTCACCCTTAGGAGTTCTTAAAGAATAATATGCTCCACACACCCAGTTAAGACATGAAAAAGAAGGGAAACATTTTACAAGGCCTAAGGAACTAAATAAAACTTAAGCCTTCCTTTATATTCTGACTTCCACAAGGGTCTTTTCAGATTGGCATCAAGTGCCCCTGAGGGAAAAACAGCTAAAACCTTTACTTCTTGGCATCTCTTCCTACTTAGACCCTGAGAATGGAACTTTGATCTTGGTTAGAAGCTCTACGACAGCACAAACCCATGCCAAAGCAGTTCTCAGTCAAAGCTCTTTCTCACTGAGTTGAGTAGAATATCCTATGTGAATACAGTTAGACTCAGAGAGCAAGTGGGACTTTAGAGCTTTGTAGCAACAAGATCCAACTTGATGTCATGATGGTTAAAAGTTGAAAAAGTTTCATTTTTGCAAAATATTTTACAAACAACTTTCCACTAACAATTTCATGGTCAATTCTTAAACTGCAAAGCTTTTTAACTGATGTATCAGAATGTTTTGTTTCTTTAAAAATACTTTGTAACAAGAATATTCTGCAAGCACTCCAATGAGAGCAGTAGGTTCTCCCCCTCAGATGCCATCCCTGTACGTGACCCTGGTGAGTATCCAGGGTAGCATCCACTACAAAAAAGGCTGGAGCAACATAAAAAGGAATAAAACATAGCCCCTGCCTTCCAAAGCCGGCAGTGTGGTGACCTATGGCCGCTGTTGCAAATTATCATTTGAAAACTTAGTTGTTTTCTCAACTATTGCTCTTAGAATAAATTATTGTTTTCAGCTTATTGTGACATCGATGGTATAAATCACTGTTACAGCTGGCTTTCCATGTGCTATTTAACAAAGCTGTTAAAGTAACCAGGTAACATAACTAGATGAGATATTTTATGGATTAGTCACTGAACATTTAAGTTTTCACATCCTTTCATTACTGGAGGACAGGATTGTGATTATAAAATAAATTGAAAGTATGTTATTGCAAAAATGAAAAGAAAAATAAAGGAAGGAGGAGGGAGGGCGGGGGAGGTGGCAAGCATTATTTGCTTATATTTGCATATATGAAATACATGAAATCTGTTCTCTTTGTAAAAATAAATATGTAAAAAATAATCAAGAGTCCTATCTAAGAGACTGCATGATGGAGTAGGACAATAAGGAAGACTCCAAACCAAGAAGTTGAAACTTCCGTATAACCTGACTTTACAAAGGGAACCTGCTCTGTAGCTGGAGATGAAGCCCCTGTTGCACAGGTTGAACGCACATTTAACAGAAGCCAGAAGCTGAGGAGTGGACTCACAGCACCCCAGCGGTATTTTTGCAAGAACCCTTGTCTCCCCTTTCTCCTCTCCTGTAGGAGGTGTCAGAAATGCCACCGTTGATGCCTGTGGGTGGAGCTGTAGTCCTTTTCCAGAGCCCATGAGTGCTGCTCCACTCCCCTGCCCAAGTGTTGGGAGAGCAGCTGGACAAAGTACAGAGTGTACAGAATGCTTGAGATGAAAATTGTTGCAAAAGATGATTCCATTTCTTGAAAACATACTGGAAACACAGAAATATATTTGTCCTGAGAAATGTCTAGAGATTGTGTTAACAACAAAGTGGAGATGCAATGAGATCCGTTCCAGGACTGAGATTTTGGGACTTTAAGGTGAAAATCTGCAGTCAACATTTGTGCACACAGTCGTTATAAACTGGCAGTTGTGAACATGACTTAGTCTATGCCAAGCTAGATGCAACTCCTCTGAGATCCAAGAAATCAGAGTTCATCCATTTCAAAAGGAAGACATTTTTCCTGTATTTTCTAAGTCTTTCAAACCAGTGTAAACTCCCAACCAAGTGAAAAAAAAATTGCTCAGGATACTTAAGTAGGTGGCATTATTAACATAAATTTTGCATCATATTGATTTTATATGATATTGCTGCAATGCATGCCACATTCTTTTATGTTAGGATCATAGATGGTGCTAACTGGGAGTTTCTGTATTGTGCTTCAGGACATAACTCCCCTTATTCCAGGGAAACAGGAAGCTTCCCAATCAGCTTCCACATTGCTCCCCTTGCATGCTCGGCTACATTCAGCCTGCAAACCCTGCAGACAGAGTCACGTTGAAGGAGACATCTTCACAATGCTAGCAAAAGAAACACGTTTCAGCCTTTAATATCTTACATAACATGGTTTGGCGGTTGATATGATTGGAATATTGATCAGCTCTTGTCCTGACTGTTGATGTACAATGTAATACTTTATCCATTTTAGTATTTTTTTGTTCTAGTACTATTGGTTGAACTCTGTAATTAACACACAATTATTCATAGGTGTTTAAATTTTAACTGAAAAGTGATCCATGTTAGGAATTTGGAAAACATTATGCTGAGTGAAATAAGCCAGTCCCAAAGGGACAAATATCATATATTCTCCCTGATCGGTGACAACTAACTGAGTACCAAAAAGGAAACCTGTTAAAGTGAAATGAACACTATGAGAAACAGTGACTTGATCAGCCCTTGGCCTTACTGTTGATGAACAACTTAATACGTTATCCCTCTTAGTATTTTTTTGTTTGTTTGTTCTACTTAATACTTTTGGTTGAATACACAGTTATTCTTAAGTGCTGAAACTTAACTGAAAAGTGATCGTTGTTAAATATAAGAGTGGGAATAAGAGAGGGAAGAGATGTGCAATTCGGGACATGCTCAAGCTGACTTACCTCAAACAGTAGAGTTAGAAACATACCAGGGGATTCCAATTCAATCCCATCAAGGTGGCAAGTACCAATGCCATCTCACTAGTCCAAGTGATCAATTTCTGTTCACAATTGATCATAATGATAGGACTAAGAGTCAAAGGGATCACACAAACAAGACTAGTGTCTGCTAATACTAACTGATAGAATAAAAAAGGGAGAGAATGATCCAACATGGCAAACGGGATACACAGCAGAGCATAGAATGGCAGATGTCCTAAACAGCACTCTGGCCTCAGAATCAGCCTTTAAGTCATGTGGATCCAGCTGAAAAGCCCATGAGAGTATTTCAGGCATGGAAAGTCAAAACACTTTGGCAAAAAAAAAAAAAAAAAAAAAAAAAAAAAAAAAAAAAACCACCCTACATGAAAGATCTCCGTGAGTGAAATCCCAGTGGAAAGAACAGAAACAGGTCATCAAAGAAGGATGTACCTTTCTCTGAAGGGAGGAGAGAACTTCCACTTTGACTATGACCTTGTCTAAATATGATCAGAGTCAGTGAACTCAAAAGGCTTCCATAGCCTTGGCAACTCATGACAAGAGCCTAGGGTGATTACTGATGCCATAAACAAGAGTGTCAATTTGTTAAGTCAACAACAGGAGTCACTGTGCACTGACTCCTCATGTAGGATCTCTGTCCTTTAATGTGCTATACATTGTGATTTAATGCTATAACTAGTACTCAAACAGTATTTTTCACTTTGTGTTTCTATGTGGGTGCAAACTGTTGAAATCTTTACTTAATATATGCTAAACTGATCTTCTGTATAGAAAGAGAATTGAAAATGAATCTTGATGTGAATGGAAGGGGAGAGAGAGTGGGAAAGGGGAGGGTTGCGGGTGGGAGGGAAGTTATGGGGGGGAGCCATTGTAATCCATAAACTGTACTTTGGATATTTAAATTTATTAAATAAAAGTTTAAAAAAAAAGATCGAAGTCAGCGAACTCAAAAGGCTTCCATAGCCTTGGCAACTCATGACTAGAGCCTAGGGAGATTACTGACGCCATAAACAAGAGTGTCAAATTGTTAAGTCAACAACAGGAGTCACTGTGTACTTTCTCCTCATGTGGGATCTGTCCTTAATGTGTTGTACAATATGAATTAATGCTATAACTAGTACTGAAACAGTATTTTACACTTTGTGTTTCTGTGTGGGTGCAAAATGATTAAATCTTTACTTAATATATACTGAATCGATCTTCTGTATATAAAGATAATTGAAAATGAAACTTAATGTGAATGGAATGGGAGAGGGAGTGGGAGATGGGAGGGGTGCGAGTGGGAGGGAAATTATGGGGGCGGGAAAGCCATTGTAATCTGTGGAGAGCAACTCGGACTAGACTAAGTTACTGGAATTAAGACTTATTCTATGCATCTGCTCTCCCACAATATGGCGCTGGGAGAGGAGTAAACAGCTTCTATGCAGCTGCCTCCAGTTCAACCAACAAACTGCAGGACCTGCTCCTGATTGGAGGAGAGCAGCGTACTCGGCGTGTGGGTAGCAGAGTTGGGATTGGTGGAAGAGGACTATAAAGGAGGAGAGAGACAACATGCACCAGGAACACCTGAGGAACATCTGAGCAGCCCCCGAGAGAGCCGGCCGGCGATGTGCCGCTCCCCTATGGAAGCGGGGAAAGTGGCAGGGGGGCCCGCCCCTCCACGGAGGTGGAGGGACGGCAACCAACCCGGGAAGAACCAGCAGCAAACCCGGGAAGGGCAGAGCAGACAAAAGAACAGCGCAGGGTCCTGTGTCATTCCTCTGCGAAGAGGGGGAGCGACAGTAATCCATAAACTGTACTTTGAAAATTTATATTTACTAAATAAATTTTTTAAAAAAAGAGATGGAAACAGCAAAGAAGAATCAGAGTCAACAGAACAATACTGAAATACGTGTGAATTTTCAGCAGCTAGATTTGGCAAAACTCTCAACATAAACTTAGAGATTGAGACATAGAGACAAAACAATCACACACGCCCTGGACATTGGCCAGTATGTTTTGTCCAGTTCCTTTTTGGACAGCTATTCGTTCCTATGAAAGTCATTGCTTTGAATTTTCTGTACAAATATCCTGCTTCTAAGCCTATATATTGTTTTGACAAATTAAACAGATATATCTAAATTTATAGAAAATTTGTGAGGATAGTGAAGAGTTCTAACACACTCCATCCTGTGTCTCTTATTACTACCATCTTAAGATTCAGTGCCCCAATTAATAAGCCATGTTAATTTTTTGTATTAGTGAAAGTCTATTGGATTATTTAGTTATCCTAGGTCCATCCTACTGTCCATTTTCAGTCCAAGTTCCCACACAGAATGCCACATTATATTCAGGTGTCATTTTTCTTTTGGCTCTGCTTTGCTGTGACAGTGTCTCTGCCGTTTTTGTCACATTGTGTACAGGGAACATAACATCACTGTGACTTACTACTGTTGAAGTTCACCTTTATCATCCATCCCAGGTTTCTCTGGTGTCAAGACACTCCCCATCCCTTTCCAGACAATGCATTTTAGAAGGAAGTCATGACACACAACCCACATTAGAGAGTGTGGAATTATGTCCCACTTCCTTGAGACTGAAGTATCTGCACTAATTATTTGGATTCTCCAAAGAAAGTTTACATATTCTTCAATTTGATTTTCTTAGACACCTATGAATTGATGACCGTAGGCTACATTGTACTTTGGGATATCAGACGTCTATTCATTTTGTTGCTTCAGTTGCAGCAGCTGGGGCCATTGAGAGCTAGTTCTCTTGCCCCAGGTCCCTTTGATTTCCTTCGTGACTGTTGGTTTTTCAAGTATTTATTTACTGGCTACAGTAAAATCTCTGAGATCCTGAGATCACCTATGACATTCCCTGCCCCAGTTGTCGAATCAGTGATTTTTTTCCAAATATTCCTAGTTATTTTTATTTAAGAATGAAAATGAGATTTGAGTGACAGGTTTGCTCCTGGCTACTGGGAAGTCAATACTTCTAGATCTTCTCACCTGAAAAAGCAAGGAAATATATGTGTGCATACTAAATCACATGTATGTAAACACCTCATATATATATGTATATATATCCATCTGTAAGCATTACAGAAGGGTACTTCAAAAATTTATAGATATATTGAATTAAAATATAATTAAAATGTTTGAAATAGTATTCACAAGCAGTCTTTATAAAGAGTTTTTGGAAAATGCATGTTATGAAAAACCTATGCATGGATTTAAAATTTCTTCCAACAACTCCCAACATTA